CAAGACCCGAAGTCATTGAAGGCTTCCACAAACTCTGGCGGGCATTTTGACTCGTCCTCAAAAAGCATACTATGGCTGTGGGTCAAAAATAGGTACCCAAAATGGAACCCTGGTATATTGAAAAGTAGGCTAAAACCTGCGGTCCCCGGGTGATTTAACTTTGACTCACACCCGCTATGTTTCCCACCCGAGTCAGTAAAGGTCTCGACCTGGAGACGCTGGAGGTGATGTCCACTCGGAAGCTGTTTGCTAATTTGGCGTGGCGATGTGCGGCAAGGTAATGTCTTGAGCGCGGGGGCATCCACGCAGCGAGCAAGCCCCTGTTCCGAGTAAACAAGTCGGTGCTAGCACGCAGGCGAGCCACACTTCCGCAAGATTGAGTGGGTGGGAAGTGAACTGGACATGCGCGTGACTCTTATGTGTTCGAGAGCAATGTGGAACTTTCCGCTCAGAAAGAACCCCGGCATGCTTTGCGACAAGTGAACAATCGGACAAATCAGGAGAGAGAAAAGAAGAACAAGCAATCAGCCACCTCGCCAAGAGGGTGAAAACGATTGTATGCCCTCCTCTGCACAGCCCGCTGCCCGCATAGCGGCACGGCGGCCCAGGTTCACTGCTCCGTACATGATCGCCGAGAAGACACCTGAAAGGAAGAACGGAGAGCACTGGCCAGAGAGCACTAGCAAGCAACACGAGCAAGCCAACACGGACAAAACAGCATTTATTGAGAGCCTGACACCCCAAACATTTTCCAAGCACCTTCGTGAAGCCCCAGCCGTGCTTGCAACTCCGCTGTGACACGCGCTCCTTTCACAGCCGTTCGACAAACGCATCTGCACGCACCGACATGACTTGCCGGCCGTGAGGCCCCACAAACCGTTTTGCCCATGGTTTCGTATAGCAATCAGGATGGATGCCAACACGGGGCTTTATGTCAGGACAGGTTTCAACAGAGTCGTCTAGCTTGCTTGTAGCACCTCCACCCCAAGAAACCCTTAAGCACCGCGATTCACACCGAACCCCACCTGCCAGCGCCGCTGCCACGAGGCCAAGCGCTTCCGAGCTGGACTTTGTCTCCTTCTGCTTCTCCTTTGCCTTCGCCGCAATCTCCGGGATCTCCGGCACCACTTCTTGCCTAAGGTAGCTCGCGTGCGCTGAATTGGCATACTTGACACATCCACAAATTACAGCTCCGGGCTGAAGCCAGGGAAATAAGCTTGTCTAGGCTTCTCTAGGGATCCTGGGGGCTTTCCCTGAAGGCAACAACTGTGCAAGAGCATTCAAACGCGCGCTTCCTAAAGCTGTAAGAGAATGTAAAAAAGGACGAGCCAGCCAAGTGTCGAAAGAAGCTTTTGCGTTGCTCCACACCCAGTTCTGGTTAGGCCCTAATGAGATCTTGGAAATGTGACATAGAATTCTACAGGCCCTGACGTAAAACCTTTGTGACAATGAACGAACCTAGCTCGGCTACAAATCCTCCGGACCGGTCCCCACATTGGGCTTCACAGTCTCCGTGTCATCCTCGGCATCCTCGGTACCCTTTGCGCCACTGTTCCTCCTCAGCAAATCTCGTGGCTGTGCGTATCCTGGCATGCCTTGAAAATGGTGAGAAAGCATATGCCGAATCACCATGTTCCTCCTAGATAAACACCACGGACCTGATCATACACCGCCCCACCAACAATGACCTACAGCATCCTACAGCAGCCACGGGTAGCTCAAGCCGACCAAAACCACAGTAGTGTTTCTCTCAGCTCGAATACGCTGCCATGATTCAGTCAACAAGGTTTGATCAAAATGCAAAAAGGGGCATAAATGACAACGCGAGACAAGTCTGCCTCTGTTGGCAATCCAGGAATTAGCACTCTCAAACTAATTGAGCCCAACAGAAGAACTAGTCACTGCAAGGGCAGGTGTGAAGGACCCAAGACACATGCAACTCCAACTGGCTTCCCCGCCTCGCTCCCTGCGATGTCTTTACCAGGCCTGCAACGACTCATGCATTTCGCGTCTCAAACGTGCAGGTCAGCTGGAGAGTCTCAAGAGGCAAGCGCAATGTTTTGGTTCTACTCGGTTTGGAGGCCCCCGTGTGCTCCCACGGCCTGACCCCTGGCTGGGTAAACTCCACCATTTGTTAAGCGCCGCGCCCCAGGCTAAACCCGGCGCCTATCATGCCCAGAAGAACGCACACAAGGTAGACTGGCGCCAGGTATATCCTGGGCTGGAATTGGCTTCAATCAAACCTTTGCTCGTCTCCTGGTGGCCAAAAGAAAACGCCGGCTCCAACATGCCATCTGTCGTATCTGGCTGGTTTGGATTGTGGGCAATCCTTGCACTCGACACCTAACATGAAAAGTGTGTGCTTGCCTTCCATGGCGAACAAATCTTGCGCAGAACCGGTCATCTCATTCAAGCACAAGCTTTCCCCAGGCAGCTCCAACATCCGGCGACCTGGGCCGAGTGTCTGGTGCCCGAACATCTCGTGCTGCTTCATGGCCTCTCCCAGCACCAGCCAAAAGACCAGGAAGCTCAGCACCGAGGCTGTTCCGGTGTTCACCTTCCAAATCAAACGGCGGAACAGAGACGGGACAGGCAGCACTGTTTGGGCTCCCACCCGAGCGAAAGAATGACGTCTGAAGGCTGATGGGCAAGAGTGCCAAATACAATTGCAAGCAAACCAGAAGACTCTGCTGTCACACTGGGGCTGTGAGGAAACCCTGGTTTCCTACTTGCAACACGACTGACCAAATCCGCTTTGAGCAGCCATTAACAATCCCAGGAAGACAACACACTTTCTCCACAGGAAAAGGCGGCAAGCTGACGACACTTGGAATCCTGCACACACACAAACACAAACAAATACACGCACACAAACACGAACACGAACACGAACACGAACACGAACACGCACACGAACGCGAGCGCGAGCGCGAGCGCGAGCGCGAGCGCGAGCGCGAGCGAGCGCGAGCGCGAGCGCGCGAGCGCGAGCGCGAGCGCGAGCGCGAGCGCGAGCGCGAGCGCGAGCGCAAGCGCCAGCGCGCCAGCGCGAGCGCAAGCAGCGCAAGCGCAAGCGCAAGCGCAAGCGCAAGCGCAAGCGCAAGCGCAAGCGCAAGCGCAAGCGCAAGCGCAAGCGCAAGCGCAAGCGCAAGCGCAAGCGCAAGCGCAAGCGCAAGCGCAAGCGCAAGCGCAAGCGCAAGCGCAAGCGCAAGCGCAAGCGCAAGCGCAAGCGCAAGCGCAAGCGCAAGCGCAAGCGCAAGCGCAACAAGCACAAGCACAAGCACAAGCACAAGCACAAGCACAAGCACAAGCACAAGCACAAGCACAAGCACAAGCACAAGCACAAACACAAAGCACAAGCACAAAGCAAAAGCACAAGCACAAGCACAAGCACAAGCACGCACACACACACACAGACTTATCTCGAGAGGCTTCACTAGCCGAGATGAAAAACGCAGTCAGGAAAATGCTTGAATGCAAATGCAAATCAACAGGTCACCACATCGACACCGAACAGGAAGCAACAGCGGCAAACAGAAACCGCAAAAGGAATCAGGAAAGAGGGACCAAAAGGACGTTCAGAACAGAATTGCAGGTACGTCCACATCGCGTCCGACGTGGATTTCACATCCTCTACAGCAGCGTCTTTGTTAGGCAGCGACTGCTGTAGGGACCACTGCCCCCCTGCTGCTTAAAGTTTTGCGTCCGTGCTCCAGGACGGTTCACACACGCAAGGCCCCGAGCGGGGCGAGCTCACTTATGCAAGGTCCATTGAGTCTTGCAATCTTCGACTGTGCGGGAAAGTCTCGTGGCGATGACAGACCATGCATGCTTGGCCTTGGTATTGATCTTAAGCGAGCGGAGGAGATCAATCTCCTCAGTCCAAGGTTGCGGGGCTTCGGGATCAGCCTCAGTAGCCGTATCAGTCCTGGTCGATGGGGTAGCTTCGCGTTGTCCACGGGTAGGTTTGGATGCCATAGAGCGTGAGGAGGTCTTGTCATGTGTGCGACGAGCTCGTTTTTTGTCAGGGGGAGACGGTGGAGTGGGTGGAGTCCAATGATCAGGAAATTGTTCATCATGATCTGCGAGAAGTTGTTCGCCAGGATCTTCAGGAAGTTGTTCATTAAGATCATCGGGAGGGGCCAGGAGAGGTGTTGGTGGTGAATTGGTCAGGTCCTCTACGGTGAGATTGAGTGGAGCTTCCGGTGCGAACTCCGGACCCTCAGTGAACTCGCGAATGGTGGCAATGCCTTGCTGGGCAATGCCGAGGATGAGTTCAAAGTCTTGAAGCAGCTGGCGTGCTGTGTCAAGATCCATAATCGCAAAAGATCTTATGTCAAACAGCTGCGGTGTGAAAACAGGTCATGTGGGAATCTGCCGGTGGGCAAAGAGTGAAAAAGTGGGAGCAATCTCAAATAGTGGCAAAGGAAGGCCGGTGCGTTTTTTCTTCTTTCTGCAAGGTGAAACCGTGTTGGTGGTACAACTTCTTCAACAATGTGAGATCGTGATCTCGCTGAAACTCAGGAAAGGAAACCCGGCTGATCAGCGTACGTCTGGAGTAATATCCAGATTCCTTGTGCATCATTGGTGCGGCTGACTTGATGGAGAGCATGTTGTGCTTCTCATACGAGGGGATGAAGGAGATGGTGCCGCAAGGTCCAGTCGAAAACCCAAGAAATCCAGGGCGGCTTCTGTTTCCAAAATGATGTCTCCTCCGTAGAAGTGTTCGTCACACAAGATGTGGGCTGCCGGAGTTGAAAACCATCTAGGAGTTGCGACCACGAGCCTGTTGTCCACATAGCGGAGCAGGAGGGTGTCCTCAAAGGAGCGAGGTCCCGAAGTAGGGTGGGTGTTGGCCCAAATTTGCTCGGCGACCGCAATTACCATCAGGCATAAAGCAGGAGATGCGGGCGATCCCATCGGGGCCCCGCGTGTTTGCCTGATGGAACGGAAGCCGACAGAAAAGATCTGCATGTCAAGGGTAGCTTGGATGATTTCGGGGATGTCGTCAAGCCACAGAGTGCGTTGTGCTGGCTTGTGTCGGCGACGGCGTCCGTTGTAGACGCGGGTGGTGGAAGAGGTGTCAAGTGTGTCCACAGTGAGGTGTGTGGTGGTGGAATGTGGTTGCCGCTGTCGGTACCAAGTCAAAAGTAGACGCCAGGCTGCTAAGAAGCGGTCTTTGTCAATGGAGTGAAGAAACCGGAAAGGTCCTGGTTTCGACAGTCCAGAGGGGTGTGGCCGAGGCGGAGAAACTCATGCAAAGACCGCATGAGATCGAAGAGGTCGCCACCCGAAAATGCGTCTGGGCAAGCCGTGGCAACCATGCTGTGGAGCAGTTTGGCGAGAGCGTCAAGCATGGGTCGGAAGAAGGCGCCAACGAAGCTGATGATGGGTCGAGCAGTGGTCCAGTTCTTCTTCCTCTTGGGGAGGATGTAGGCAGTCGCTGGCCGTCCGAAGCCGGTCACGGCCCATGGATAGCGACCGCGGAATCTGCTGACGATGCTTTCTCGTTGCCGTTGATGGATCTCAATGGAGGGGACTCTGGCAGGATCCGTGAATGGGGCATCTTGCCGTACACAGCGGGGCAATAGAGCATGAGTCGGGAGTCCGCATGATCTTCGCAATGGCG